CCCACTGCATGACACACTGGACTGCCCACTGCATGACACACTGGACTCACCACAGCACCTTCAGTCGTAGACTGAGACCACCGAGGTGCTCCACAAAACACCACAGAAGTCCTTCCTCCCTGTGGCAATCAAACTTTTCAACTCCTCCCCCTATAGGACAATAAAAGTAATACTCTTATACAATAAACATTTTAATGTATCTGTCTGCACCTGACCTGTTTCAGACCTTAATTGTTGGTATTTTTATATTCTCTGTTATTTTTTTATATTCTCTGTTATTTTTTATATTCTCTGTTATTTTTTATTTCTTGTGTGATTCCCTGTGTGGGTTTTCTCCGGGTCCTCCGGTTTCCTCCCACAGACCAAAAACATGCATGTTAGGCTGGTTGGTAACTCTAAATTGTCCCTAGGTGTGAGTGAGAGAGTGAATGGTTGTTTGTCTTATTTGTCTCTATGTGTCCCTGTGATGGACTTGCGACATGTCCAGGGTGTACCCTGCCCCTCGCACAGTGATTGCTGGACATGGGCACCGGTGACCCCCGTGACCCAAAGTGGAAGAAGCGGGTAAAGATAATGGATGGATGGTGGATGGATTGTGTATGTTCCTTTTCCTGAAACTCTGGCACAACAATTTCCTGCGGGATCAATAAAGTTCTGTCTCATCCTATCCTATTAATGCACATACAGACAGACAAGCAGACACCTCTAACCCACACACAAACACACTGGTTAGGCTTCAAGTAAGTAGCTGACTTCATCCTCTTTACACCCCCCCCCCCCCCCCCCCACACACACACACATAAATGAGGATGGCCCTCCTGTCCACTCACCTTATCTATCTCTGTCTGCAGACCTGAACGAGTGCGGGCTGAAGCCGAGGCCCTGCAAGCACAGGTGCATGAACACATACGGGAGTTACAAATGCTACTGCCTTAATGGGTACATGCTGCTGCCTGATGGCACGTGTGGAAGTAAGTCTCTCACACACACACACACATACACACACTGTGATTGTTCACACTGTTTCCATTAATGTATATATATTTTTCTCCTTTTATTTTGTCTCCTTTGCTTTGTAAACATGTAAGTGCTACCATTAGACCTTCATTATTAAAAAAAAAAAAATCTCAGATCTTTTCGCATTCTGAACAGTTTCCTCCAGTTGTTGGAGAGAGCTCGTTGAATAACCTCAGTTTATAGAAATAGAGCTATAGAGCTATTGTGTATA